ATCTTTGAATAGCTTTTCCTTCATGAACTCCACATACTGAGTCAAGCTTGTCATACTGAACAGGCTCAGCACAAAGGACACTCTCAGGAGGTGATGCCTTCATAAGGGGCAGCTCCTTATGAATGAATGCATTTGTCACTCCATGAAACACTGCACTTCACAAAGGATCCAAGCAAACACATTGCTTTGGGAACAACAGGAAAGACCCAATATGGACTGAAACCATTAACATGTTCATTAAAGAAAGGAGGCAGTTGTCTTGATTGATTTCAGAGAAACGTTACATGCTACTTAACAAAACTGTAATGAAATAAAGCAATATGTTCTGTCAGAGAGAGCAGCACAGCATGAGCACAGGAAAATAATAACACTTCCACAGCTGCAATTGGCAGGAAGGACAGAATCCACAGGCCTTCTGGGGACAGCTCTGTGCTGGCTCTGTCTCCTACTCTCATTCACAACCATGAAGACAATGACTGCCCCCTCGTTGCTGCTCCTGTCAGGGAGCAGAGCTGTCCCTGTGCTGGCTGGCAGCCTGGCTCCCTGCAAGGGGCTGTGGGGTCTGGGCAGCTGACATGACTGTGCCACACAAAGACCATACAGGTCTACATGGACTACACCGTGGAGTTTTTTTTGCAAGCAAATAGAGAACACAACTTACAGATACCAAGAGAAAACTCTGTTTCTTGAGGCAATACCATTTTCTGACTCTCTGGGGAGAAGTCCAGCTAAAACAGGGACCATGACACACTGTTCCTGATGCTCCTGGGGAAAGAAAAATGTTTATTTAAAGAAAACATATTCATAACCCTATAAATTGTTAGACCTAGTCAAGACTCTCTGCCTTTAAAAGCCACAAGCACTGTACTGAACCCTCTCTAACAGACTCTGACAGAGATACAAGGCCTCAGGGAACTTCTTCCCTCCTTTCCCTAGTGGTGAGTTTATTCTTTAAACAGGAAGTCATTTAGCTCCTATTTGTTTATCCTGAAGCAGCTTTTTATATTTGTATTGGGTTTGGGTAGTTGCTGCTATACTGTGCAGCTCTGTGACCAACTGGCAGCAAAGCTGCAGGCCTTTCTTCCTTTGAGCCTTGAGCAGTTCTGCTTCAATTTCACTTTCCAAATCTGAATGAAATTGGAATTTTCAATTTCAAAAGCAAACCCTTTTCCTTTCTCTGCAACACAGACAGAAGGGGAACTCTTGCCTGGCCTCTTCTGTGTGGTTCTTTATTTTACACAAATCTATCACTGGGTTTCTCCTTCATAAACTCTCTAGACAGACATTTTAATTGTGCCTTTTCTCCTGGCTTCCATTATTTCCATCACCTAGCACATAATGCTTTAATACCTCATTTAGTAAAAAATTGTGTAGAGATCAAATTTTACTATAAAATATGAAGGTCACCTCTAAGCCTTGTTCAGAATTGTATTGAAATAACTAGAATAGAGAAGCAATATGAATCATTGCTCCTATTCTTTAGGGAAAAATCTAATAAATGCCTTGAAAATGTTTTATATAACCTTTTGACAGGAACATATTTCTTCTACAGCACAATATGTGATAGTTTGACTATTGTTGAATGGATTTGGTTGGATGGCAACTCAGAAAGCAAAGCAATTTGAAAGCAGTGAGGCGGGTTCTGCTTGATAGTCACAAAAACCCCAAATGCTGCATGTGGCTATTGCAGCCTCATGGAAAAACTGAAATTTTTATGATTCTGGAAGATTAAATTAGAGGTTGGTACAATAACTCTCTCAGTTTAAGTTTGCTTTGGATAAAACAAAAGGATACCTTTTATGCTACCTTTATCAAATATACTTTTGGTCCCTTTTCTTGTTCAATAATTTTGTGCTGTGAGTCACCTGTTCCATAAAGACAATCACATTTAAGAGCCAAATTTTGTTGTTTTGTAACCCCCACCTCCCAGAAACCAGTGTATATAATTTCAAACACTGAAAATGTTAACATTTCTGAGATCCCTGATGTTTGTTCTTGCAAACAGCTCTCAAACATACAAGAATTAATCAGAAATACAACAAATTCCTTTTTGCTTTTTCCACTGGTGCCATTTTAAAAATAGCAACATCTTTACTGCAACATTTCTGAGGGAAAAGAGGGCTCCTTTACCCTTCTACAGGCAGACAGATGCTTCTTCTTTGTCTCCAGTCCTCCGACTGCTGCTCTATCACGCTGCTGCAGTTATTATCAGCACAAAGACCATGGATGGCGTGGTGAAATGGAGCTACAGCAGATGTGTGCAGAGCCACAGAGGAGCTAGCTCAGCATGTCTTCACTCTCCAAAGGAAACCACGACCCCAGTCACCAGCAGAGCATCCTAGCAAATCTCAGGGCAGTTTAAAATGACTTAGGACAAATGAAAACTGTCCCTGGTACTACAGCTGATGTCCCCGTGCCTGCTCTGAAATCCCTGCACGTGTCCTTCACCAAGGACAAGGCTCACAGTAGGTCCTGTTGGGGTTTCAAGCCCTCCACCTCCACTGTGAAAATGACCCCCTGAAGTTCTTGGCAGGGTTTTCCCTCTCACAGCCACACAGCTTGTGTTTCAGGGGCTGGTGTCATGAAAGTCTCTTGGAAACTGGTGCTGTTTGAGGGCTGACACAGGCAAGATGTCAAATCACACTCAGGAAAGATGCCTCAGCCCCACAGTACTCGCCTGACAACTTCATGTGGACTGAATAGAGGAAGGGATTGAATCTGGGAAGGCTTTGCAGACGAGGGAGCTGGATGAAACAAATCATAATCTGCTCCCATTTCTCATCTATTTAAACAGACTCTGAAGCCAGCTCTTCAAAAATAAATGCTGGTACCTGCTGTAGTTCAGTGCGCCTGGCTGTCTTTGGAATTCCTTCAAAGTGGCCCTGGTATTTTATCCGGGAAACGAAGAGGGAGATCCCTGCATAATCACCATCGTTACCTTTCATTTCTTGAGGTAATGATGCATAAAGTGTCCTGGTGAACAGCAGGCACTCCACTGTACCCTTCCTTGGACTCACAATGGATCCTGCTACACAGCAGCTTCCCGGTTCCTCAAAATATTATTACAACACAGTTAAAACAATTTCCATGCTGTTAGTATCATTTTTCTGAGATAAAGCCGGATGTCCATGGAAGAGTCAAAAATGCCCAATTTAGGAAAGACTCTGAGTTCCCAAGGCCCTCAGCAGCCAGCACACCACGATAAACTTCTCCATGAACAACGGGGGAAACACGGCTGCTTTCCATCAAGTTTTTGTCTCTTAACTTATTTTTTTCAGTTGTTCATTAGTCCTGTGAAGCCAATCAGTCTTTTCCCCCTTCTTCCCTCAAACACTTGACTAGGTAATAATTCCAGCAAAATTCTAGTGGTCGTATATTGATCCAGATAAAAATATGGAGCTTCAGAAGAGTAGATGGGCTGGATGAAGCTGTGCAGTGTTTGAAGTAGAGCAGAGTTTGCCACCAATTACTGCACATAAACATTAGCAGAGCACATAAATGGCTGCAGGACTTCAGGAGAATAAATAACTGTTTGCAGATTTAATGCTGGTTGTCATATCACTGCCTTGTCAGTTTTATTAATGACTTACTAGACAAGAGGAGCCCTTTTTTCCCCTCTTCCAAGATCTGGGAAGACACGAGATAGATGTGGTTTACATTGCTCTAAAGTTAGAAGTCATGATGTAAAACACAGAAATAGATATGAATAGAAAAAAAACCCAACCAAATGCATAATATGAAAAACATGTTAAGGCAATAGCTGCACAATATCCTGCCTTCCAGAAGGTTCAGAGGAGGAGAGTTATGGGTCGAGAGCCCTATAGTGCAAGAAAACAATTACTCTGTCATGTATGGAAACTTCCATCCATACAACCATAGGATGGTTTGGGTTGGAAGGGATGCTCAAGCCCATCTTGAAACCCCCTGCATGGGCAGGGACACCTCCCAGCAGCCCAGGCTGCTCCAAGCCCCATCCAACCTGCCCTTCAACACTGCCAGGGAAGGGGTTTCACAGCTTCCCTGGGCAGCCTGGGCCAGGGTCTCACCCCCTCACACTGAAGAATTTCTTCCTAATATGTAAAACAAATCTCCCCTCTTCAAGTTTTAAACCATCACCCCTTGTCCTCTCACTACACGTCCTTGTAAAAAGTGGAGCCTTCTCCTCTCCAGGCTGAACAGGCCCAGCTCCCTCGCCCTGCCTGCACAGATGCCCCAGCCCTTCACCGTCCTCACGGCCGCCCTGAGGCCCCCTCAGGAGCTCCACGTCTTTCTTACGTGGGAGGCTCCAGAACTGGACTCAGCACTTCAAAACCCGGGTGAGAAATGTTGGCTCACACCTGCTGGAGCCCAAGGACCCCGTGAGCGGCCGGCGCGGCTGCCGTGTGGA